CTTCTTGAGACGGCCGTGGGCCTCGGCGACGGGCAGCAGGTCCGAGAAGACGCCGGGGACCTCCCGGTCGTAGGACACGCCTGCCTCGCGGAGCGAACCCTCGATGACGGTCGCGACGCCGTCGCGCCCTGGTCGTCCGCGCGCTCTTGAGGTTCATGAGCCTGAGGTCGCTAAAAAAGACGTGGCCGAAGGCGTCGACGACGCTCGACGTGTTCTGGATGCGCCGCGGGACGGGGGGGGGGGGATCATGCACGGGCTCTTGCGCCGAAGTAGGTGCCGGCGGCCTTTGCGAACTCGCCGTTCGTGATGACCGCGCCGCCCACCGGGAGCGTCGTCAGCCAGGCCCTCGCGGCCAGGTCCCACGCCGCCTCGGCGGCGCAGTAGGTGAAATCGTCGATCGCGAGGTCCGCGAGCTCGGGCTTGTAGGCCTCGACTCCACCTTGTCGAGCTCCGCCGTCAGGCGGTGCTGCATCTTGGGGACGCGCGTGCCCTCGTCGTCGACGCCCGCGTCGGCGAAGGGCTTCGCGAGGAGGCCCTCGTAGTCCTCCTCCTCGACCACGGCGGCGATCATGGAGCCCCAGGCCGCGAGCATCTCGACGGCGGTGGAGCACCCGGAGCCCGCGGCGGCCTCGAGGCCCGCGAACTGGCCCGAGGCCCCCTCGTCGAAGGACCCTTGACCCAGCTCCGGTTCGAGCTGGTTCATAAAGCCGGCCACCGTCGACCTGCCGACGAGGCGGTTGACCATGGTCGGCAGCACGACGCAGCCCGCGCCGAAGAACGCGGCGTCGGCGACGCCGACGCGGAGGCGCAGCCCGCCGCCACCGCCGCGGATCGGCATGCGGAGTCGCTTCCGCGCAAGATTGTCGGCCAAGATCAAAGGCCCGGCCTCGCCGGAGGCGTCGCTCGCCGCGCTCGTGATGGCCGTGTCGAAGTCCGCGAGGAAGCTCCGGGACGCCGACATGTACATGGTCTGCGCCCAGTAGTCGGCGCGCGTGCTCAGACACGAGAGCACGAGTAGCCAGAGCGCCTGCGAGCAGGAGGACAGGAGCTGTGTTGATGTAGCTTATCGTGTCCTCCAGCTTGCCCTCGAGCTGGGTCTTGGCGTACTCGGGCTCGACCATAGGCACGCCGGAGACGAGGATGCCGCCGTCGTGGACGACGGCGAACTGCCGGGGCCGGTCCTGGGCCTGGGTCTGGCCTGCGACGAACTCGCAGTCCGCGACGTGGGCCGGGTGCACGGCGAGGGCCACGCCCAAGGATGGCGACCAGGCGGCCTGGCCGAGCACTTGTCGAAGCGAATCGTACGGCCGCGGCGTCCCGGCGAAGCGCCGGGAAGACGACGTTTGCCGGCGATGCCGTCGTCGACCTGGAACTATAGCCGGGCGGGTAATCTCAGGGTAAAATACCGGTATGGTAATTACCGGTAATTACCGCGGTATTACCGAGGGCCATATTCCCGGCCCGGGTAATACCGAGGCGCGCCGAGCTCCCGCAAGTACGGGTAGCCTGCGATCATGACGCGCGGACCGTCGCGGTCGCGTTCCGCGTCACGGTCCGCGCGCGCCAGTCCGACACCGAGTCCGACGACGACGACCCGCCCCGCCGCCGCGCGCGCCCGCGTGCCTAGAGCCCTAAGAGGAGTCGCAAGCTAGACCGTGCGGCGCCTTCGGGTAAAAGAGAATTCGGTCGACACGCGGGTTCGCGGTGGTCCTTTTGAGCCGCCATACCGCCTCCAGCCGTCCCGGTACAGCGTATTTTACCGGTAATTACCCGGGTAATCGGGATTACCGGTAATTACCGTGGTATTACCGAGGCGGCTCGGGGCTTTACCGGTAATCGACGTGCCATACCTGGAACCGGGCGAAGCCGCCGGCCGCCAGAGCTCCGCGTCGAGGGCGACGGCGCAGGCGTGCGTCGCGAACGCGTAGTTCGCGCAGGACGCCGGGTCGCCCTGTTGGGCGCCCTCGCAGGAAGCGAAGTCCGCGACGCGCTCGTCGATGACGATGGGCGCGTCGCGCGAGTAGTACGCGTACCGGAAGCGGGCGTAGGCGGCCAGCTCCGGGTCGCTGTTGAACGCGTCCATGATCGACGCGTGGCGCACCTGGCTGTCGGCGTTCGATATTGACGTAGGCGAAGTCCGGCCCGCACGCCGAAGACCAAGGCGTTGGCGCCGCTCGGGACGCCCACCGAGATCTGGACCTGGTAGAGCTTCTTCGCCAACTCCGCGGCGACGATCCGGGCCGCCAAAGCCGTGGCCGCGCGGCGCCGCACGTTGCCGAGGGCAAGGGGCCGCACGTCCTGCGCGTCGCCAGCTGCGCCGAGCTTCTTGACGAGCGCTAGGAGGCGTATGGCGGCGTCGACGAAGTAGAGCGGCCGGTGCTCTTGACGAGCTTCTTGACGAGCTCCATGGTCGCCGTCGCCTGACGTTGCCCGGGCAGCCGCGCGTGAACGAGCGTCAGGTGCTCGTTCGGGAGCATGTCCGAACCCGTGCCGGACCGCCGCGGGAGCATGCCCAGCTTCTGGTTCAAGTCCACGGCGTCGTCGAGGTGCGCGACCTCGGGGAGCGCGCCGTGCCTCGGCAGGTGCTTGTCCCGGAGCTGGCCCAGGATGCGCGGGTCGCACGCGTCCGCCAGGCCGCTCGACGTCAGGCGCGACGCCGCGCGGCTGAGCTCGCCCGCCGCGACGAGCTTGAGCGCCTCGTCCACGCTCGCGTCGGAGCCGGCGGGCTTCCGCCCGGCGCGCGCCGGCGCCTTCTCGCGTTCGGCGAGGAACCAGCGGACCCGAGCACCGCTTCGCGCCGACGACTCGGTCCTGAACAAGGCGAGGTGGAGCATAGAGTGCCACCGCAGCGCGATGTCACGCGACTCGGATGCCTCTGTCGAATCACCCATGCGGACACTGCATTGCCTCAGTGCATGGCTGCAGATACTTAATATCAAGTGGAGAGAAGTCTCGTTGTACAGTGCGCGTCAGACTGTCAGGGGATTGTAAGGCCCTTCAACTAAATACTAGGTAGATATAACTGTCCGCTCGCCTAGTAGCCTAGGGTCACTAGCGCGGGCACTCAGCTGGTTAACACCAGGGGAGCCTTCGCTAGATGTGAGATAAGGAGAAGTGGAAGATACGGCGACGCGCATCTGCCAACTAAAGATACAGTGAGATAAATAAGGCGGATATATACACTGCAATATCAGCGTCACGCTAAGCTTAAAGGTAGACATTGGAGGCGAAAATCGCGCCACAATGGCCCCCAAACTTGACTCATACCGTTCTTGCGGGGGGGGTAGCAAAGCTGTTACTAAGTGTAACAGAACAAACACTAGCTAGAGCTCACGAAACTCGCAGGCAGCTGCAGTGAACGTATCGAACAGTATCGGCCGCGCCCAGATACTTGCATTGCGTAGAACTCGTCGAACGCGGACAGCGTCAAGAAAAAGCTCGACGCGGTGAAGGCCAAGGAGGCCAAGGCGACGGCCAAGGTCGAGAAGCGCTGGGACGACGCGTCGATCAAGGCGAACAAGGAGGCGGCTACGGCGGCGGCCAATGCCGCTAAGGCCGCCAAGGTCGACATCGATGCCGACGCGGCCGCAGCGCCCGATCCGGCCGAGCCCGTCCAGATCAGCCACGCCCGAAAGTTGGGGCCTTTTCGCCGGGGCTGACGTTGTGAGTGCGACACCACCTACAGAGAATATAGGCTGTCTCTCTCGAGAGGCAAGTTGCGGCAAACCCATAGCCTAACTTGAAACCTAGCGGCGCTAGCCTAGCTAGGAGATCTACGCCGATCTGCGCAGGTCGCCGGTATACCGGCTGTTGGCCTCGTTGCTCGGCATTTTGCTCGTGCGCTCGCTGCTTTCGCTGCCCTCCGCCGTCCTCCGTCCCGGCCTCCCTCCACTCTGTGAGCACCCACACTTGTGACAGCCCAGAAGGCGAGAGACTGTGGCGGCGGACGTCGACAGGGCGCGGCTGCGCAGCGTTCAGTCAAAAGCCGTCGCGACCATGGCGGCGCCCGCGTCCCGGGCCTCCCGGCGCCTCGAAGGCCGCACGGGCTGCTATCGCCCGAGTAGCATTGCCGGCGGCGAGCGATAACGCCCGACGACACTCATGACGACCCTCGACCTCGCGCCGGTCTGCGGCGTCTGCTCTCTGGACTCGACACGTAGGGACGTCCGCGTGCTCTCGCCGAGGGACGCCGTCACGCTCATGGTCGCCCAGCTGGCCAGCTCGGCCCCGCCGGGCACGGCCATCGTCGGCCGCGTGCCCGTCGTGCCCGCCGAGGCGTGCTACAAGTGCACATCGTGCTCGGCTTGGCTGAAGAAGGCATCCGACGTCGTCGAGCCCTTCGTCGGCGCGGCGTGCGCGCCGGACACGGCGACGGAGCGGCGCGGCGCGCAGAAGGGGCCCGGCGTGCTCCTGTGCGACGGCGGCGGCGTGACCATGGCGTGCGTCGCGCTGCGCGATTCCGTGCGCGCGTTAGCCAAGAGCTGCGCCGCGGGCGGCGTCCACGTCCCCGGCGCGGTCGTCGCCATGCGCGAGCTCGTCCACGCGCGCGCCGAGTCGGCGGCGGCGGCGGCGGCGCGCGACAAGGCCGACGCGCTCGCCCTCGAGGAGGCGCGCGCGCTACCTCAGGCGGACGCCGCGGAGTTCCCGAACTTCGCCGCGGTCTCCGTCGCGGCCGTGCCCCTCGTCGTGGCGGGCCGCCGGGACGACGGCGGGTCGGCGACGGTCCTCTCGTCGCGCGTCGTCGCCGGCGCCGGCGTCGTCTACGACGTCCAGTACGCCGTCGGCGGCCGCGTCGGCCGCGACGTCGGCGAGTCGCGGCTCGTGCTCGACGTCGAGAACGCGCGCCGCCCAAGGCGAGGCGCGGCGGCTCCCGGCGGCACGGAGCGCTCGCTCGGCGCGGCGCCCTCGGAGCCGTCGGCGACGGACCGCGCGATCGCCGCGGAGACGGCGCTGCGCACGAAAACGCGAGAGCTTGAGCGCGTGCGACGCGAGCGGGACTCGCTCGCCGAGGCGGAGAAAGAGGAGTCCGCGCGTCTGGCACTAGCCCACGAGCGACGACGAGCGGCTCTGCGCGACGCCAGTCGCGCCCGAGGCGACGCCGTCCGCACGGAGGCCGGGGCGGCGGCCCTCGCGGAGACTTCCTACACCTCCGGCGTCCTCGCGGGCGCCGAGGAGCGCGACGCCGACGCCCTGGCCGTGCGCGACCAGGCGGCGCGCGACCGCGCGCACGATCGCGCTGCGCTCGAGGCGGACGTGGCCCGCGCCCGAGAGGTCGCCGTGGAGGCGGAGCGCGGCCGCGAACGCGAACAGACGAAGCGCGAACGGGCCGAGGGCTGCGCGGACGCGGAACGCGTCGTCTCCGAGACGGCCCTCGCCGAGCGCGACGCTCTGATGCAGCGGTCCCTGTCCGGGATCGTCGACTTCCTCATGCCGAGCGGCGACGGCGGCGCGCTGACGAAAATCCGCTCGTTCGACGCGCTCCTGACGTCGCCGTCGGCGCTCGACGACACGTCGAGGCGTCAGGCGGATTACATTCGGGCGGCGATGCGGTGCTTCGATGGCCTCGCCGACCTGCTCTCGGGCGGCGACGCGGAGCGCCTCGAGGTCGTCTTCGGCGCGTTCGACGCGTCGATGGCGAAGCGGCGGCGCGTCCGCGGCGCGTCCGAGCGCGTGCTCGTGGCGCTCAAGGACAACATCGCGACGGCGTGGCAGAACCACACGCAGGTGGGCGACTACACGGCGGCGACCCAGGTGCTGTCGCTCGCGATCGTGCCTCGGATGCGGGACTTCGGCTGGCGGGACCAGATCCGCGCGTTCGTCAGCCGCGTGGTCCCCGTTACCACGGGCTCGGACGTGTTGGTCCTGCAGTTCCCGCAGGGGGTTAGGCGTGGCGACTACTGGCGCCGCGGCGTCTGCGTCGCGGTGTCGGAGGTCGGCTGCTTCGACGTGCGACCTCTCCCGACGACGGGCTCCGGCCGGCTGATCTGCTTCGTCGAGGACCGCGTGCCGGCGGACCGCGTGCGCCACGCGGACTCGCTCATCTGCACGAAGCACGACGTGCAGACGGCGGCGAATCTCGCGATGGACCGGTTCCCCGGCGCGCGGCGCGACGTGATTTCGCGGAGCGGCTGGACGCGGATCGGCATCGAGCGCGCGGCTTTGACGGCGGCGTTCCTGCGGGACCCCTCCGTCGTCGTGCAGGCCGACGGCGGCGCGAGCACGGCCCGGCGGAAGACGAAGTGGTTCCTCAAGGAGGGCGTGCCCCGGCTGTTGAAGCGGCTCAATCGACGCCTCGCCGACGCGGGCCTTCGGCGGAGCTCCGAGGCGCACTTTCGTGGGCTGCTCGCAGGCCCGGGCTATGCGAAGCTGACGGCGGAGCTGTGCACGTGCGTGAAATGCAGGGACCTCGGATTCGTCGTCTACGACCTCCTCCGGAGCGTCGTCGCGGCGTGCTCCTTCTCGATCTCCGTGTCCATCCAGGAGAGGCTCTACAACCAGATCGACGCGGAGGAGCGCTTCCGCTCCGGCGAGTTCCGGAGCCACCTCAAGGAGGAGTCCCACGTCGCGCAGCACTGCTTGTGCTACCTGCTCTCCTCGGAGAACGAGCCCTGCTTCCGCGAGCCCTGCGTCCACGGCCGGAAGGACGGGTCGACGCTGTCGCCGCCGAAGACCATGGAGGAGATCGTCGCGCCGCGGCGGCTGACGCGCCGAGACCACGAGGACGAGTGCATGGTCTGCTACGGCGACGAGGGCTCGTTGCTGTGCTGCGCGTACTGCGCGCGCGCGGCGCACAAGGAGTGCATCCGGCGCCACCACAACGACCTCGGCGGGTCCTCGGACAGCTGGACGTGCTGGGACTGCGTGCGCGAGCGCTCCCTCGAGCAGCACGACGGATCCTGCGCGGCCTGCGACGGCCACGCGTTCTTGATGGGCGACTTGAGGTCGCTCGCGGCGGTCGCGGACGCGAAGATCCGCGACGGCGTGGCGAGCGGAGATCTAGACGGGGCGACGGTCCTCGAGGAGAACGGCGACGCGTCGATCGTCGGCGTCTGGGCCCGCAGCGTCGTCGCCAAGAGCGACGTCGATCTGCGTGCGTACCACGGGCACATCGCGCAGGACGTGTGCACGACGCCGTACCAAAAGTTCGTCACGTCGACGCTGAAGGACCACGAGTACACGACCATCTACGACTACTGGGCCAAGCAGTCGGCCAAATTACACATGGAGGGCACGTGCGAGGGCCAGGGCAACAAGGGCGTGTCGTGCTCCGGGCGGGCCTTCACGTGCAACAACCCGACGAGCGCCACGCGAGCCCAGTACCCGGACGTCCCGTGGGCTATCTTTCCGTCGAGCCCAGACCAGGGCGGGCCGGCCTACCTGCGCACGTTCCGGCGCTCGTGGTCCGACAGCTCGAGGCAGGACAGCTTCGACACGGCCGTGACGCTCTTCGCGGAGGAGGGCGAGTACCGGAAGGCGCACCCGTGGCTCACGACGAACGCCGGCGACATGTCCGACGGCGCGTCCAACTTCCGGTCCACGCCGGCGGCGCTCTACAACATGCAGTCGCCGTACCCGACGTACAAGGCGACGTCCGTCTCGGGCCACGGCAAGGACGTCGTCGACGCGGACAACGGCGTCGAGCAGCCGAAGCTCCGCGCCGCCGTCGACGCCGGCAGCGACCTGACCTGCGCGTCGCAGTACGTGGCGGCCTGCGACGCGCGACGGCACACGGGCGTCGTGAACATGCGCGTCGAGATCGACCGGAGCCTCGACCTGACGGCCGAGGAGAAGAAGCGGCGGAAGTCGATCGTGGGCATCGGCGACGCACACTTCTACGCGTGCCCCTACGGCGGGGACCTGCGCACGTGGGAGGTGTTCTCGCGACGCCTGTCTATCGAGGCGGGCCGCCTCGTCGGCATCGGTCCGGGCCGCGTCGTCTCGCGGGCCCTGCTGGTGTCGGATCACCTCCTGGACCGCCACGCGCTCGACGTCGCGTCCGCCGCGCTGACGTACCCCGGCGAGTCGGCGCTGCCGACGGACCAGCAGCTGCTCGTGAACCCCGCGCCGTTCTTGTCGCCGGACCAGAAGAAGACCGCGGCCGTCGCCAAGGAGGCGGCCGTCGAGGCTCGAGACGCGGCTCGTGAAGAGCGTGCCGTCGCGAGACGCGCGCCCCTCGTGGCGACGTTCCGGAACCTGCGGCCCCATGCGTGCCCAAATTGCCTGGCGAAATTCTCGAGCCCCGCGCGGCTGCGGTCCCACCGCCTCCGGGGCTGTGGTTCTTCTGCGGCGGGACGGGCCGAGCGGCGACTCGCGCACGACGCGACGACGATCGACGCGCTGCTGGCCAAGTCCGACGGCGACCTCGCCGACGCGCTCGAGGCGCGCGCCGAGCTCGGTCTAGACCTGGTCACGGCCACATTCGCCGAGGGTGCGTTGGGCTTCACCTGCGAGGAGCAGCTGGACGCCGCCGGCGCACCGTCGCTATTCCGCGAACTCGCGTGGGCCCTTCCTTCGATTCCGCGGCACCTCGTGCGCGGTGCGCTCGTGCGCGTCGAGGCGCACCGCTTTGGACCCGCGGCCCGCGACGAGGTCGGCATGGGCTGGCGCTCCGCGTTCTACTACGGCACCGTGCAGTCGAGGAACGGCGACATCATCTCCGTTCTCTACTCGGGCCACGCGAGCGGCCAGGAGCACGAGAGCCACTTTAGCCACGTCGAGATCGGGACCCGCCCGCCCTCCTCCGGCGACGTCGACGACCAGACGTTGCAGACGTCGCACGAACCCGCCGTTGTCGCGTCCGTGGAGCCGCTCGGAGCGGCCGCGGCCGCCCTGGACCAAGTCGGCTTTGAGGTCGTCGACGTCGGCGGCACCGCGGCGCCCACCTACAGTCGCGCGAAGGAGCTCCTCGAGCACGCCGCGCGGCCAATCTCCGT